TATATATACTATGTCCAGGCTGTGATCACTGAGTCTGTACAAAGTGTCTTTCTCAGTTTCTGATCTGTCACATATACACACACACCGATCAGCCAAAACATTAAAACCACTGGCGGTTGAAGTGAATGATATTGATCATCTTGTTACAGTGCAATGTTCTGCTGGGAAACCTTGGGTGTTGGCATTCATGTGGATGCTACTTGATGCACTCCACTCACCCGACCACCGTTGACCAAGTAAACCCCCTCAGATCGGGATGTGGGGACTTTGGAGGTCAGGTTAACACTTTGAACCTTTGAGCAGTTGTTGTGGTATGGCATGGTGCACTGTCCTGCTGGGGGCCACTGCTACTGGGGGGTGCTGTTGCCATGAGGCGGGGTACCTGGTCTACACTGGTGTTTAGGTGGGTGGAGCATGTCAGGTGGCATCCACACGAATGTCAGAACCCAAGGTTTTCCAGAAGAACATTGCACTGAGACAAGATGGTCAATGTTGATCACTTCATCTGTCAGTGGTTTTAATGTTTTGGCTGATCAGCGTATATCTGCATACACACACACACACAAACATATCCTAGGACTTACACTGTACTGCTACATGTAATGTTAGTTTACAAAATGTGCAGCACAGTCTTCTTAAACACAGACTCAAACATAAAGGCACATCTGAACCCACTGCATCTCTGGGTCCACTCCGTCCTAGCAGCGCCCCTGTCGACGCCTCAGCGTCAGTGATCACGTGCCATCTACTACGATCCGCTGAAGTTGAAGAAAAGTTTGACAAGCCCAAGATCCCCGAGAAACAAGAGAGCTGCCAAACTAAAGACCCAGCAAAGGAGAAACATCATCGATACTATCGGCTCTTTATTTCCGGACACACGATGGAATCCGTCGCCCAGGTAACAGTTCTGACAGGAAGTGTGAAAACGGTTATTAATGGCGCAAACTTTTTCCCCTTTTATGCAAACGCACCTAGTCAGCGTTGTGTGTGGGACGTGTTCAGCAGTGTAACGGCTTCTTTCTCATATTTTATGTGTGTTTCTCATTAGAAAGTCATGTCTTCCGGATTCACTCTTGATTTTGGACCTCTGAAAGAGCCGCTGGCTTTCATACGTGTGCTGGAGTGGGTAAGTTTTTCCAAATCTTAATTATTATTTTTCCCATATGGCCTGTGGCGGGGTTTCTTACTCATGAGCTGTCCACCCCTGAGAACAAAAATACCCTACAAATTGATTTGGTGTTTGTCTTGTGACCCACTGCACGGCCGAGGAAGCTATGACACCCATCCTTTGAGATGCAGCACCGTTTCAAATACGGTATGTAGTTCAGGGGGCAGTAAAGTTTCATCGTGATGTCTATAAACCACAAGCTATATGGCACAAAGTGATAGCTGATGTTTGTAATGTGGCACCTGGAGCTAAAGATGTGTCTTATAACGTAGAAAAAGATTTAAGTTGGTGACTAACTGTTAAGATGCACAACATTTCAAGTCAAATAACAAAACAGTGTGTTGGCTTTCACAAGTAGGAAGAGGTTGCTTTCACTTCTCAGACAAAACATCAGTAAAACTACAAGTCTTAGCTTTTAAATGTAAAGTCATGTTCCTGCTGTGAACTCTGCACATATTCACAGTGAAGGCATCTGGTGATTAAGATGACTTCCTGTCAAAAGTGTTGCACAAAACTAAAGAGAAGTGTGTGTGAAAGTTTGATTAACGCTCAATAAGCCAACCCGTATCCCCTCTTATCTTGTGTCTGTGGCTGCAGGTGTTCTCCATATTTGCCTTTGCTACGACCGGAGGTTACAGCGGCACAACCAGCATCAACGTCCAGTGCCAAGGGAGTACCAACCAAGAAGTACACGCAGAGTTTAACTACCCATTCAGGTGTGTGTGAGCCAACACAAACAGTCTCACACCCCCTTACATTGAGGAACCAGCTCACTCTGAAGTGTGTGTGTGCTTTTAGGATTTCCATAACTAAATATATTCTATCTATTACACAGGTTGATGCAGCATCCTTATTACGTTTTTGATTGCAGTACCAATAAAACATCTATGTTCTTCCTGACTGGAGACCACACATCCTCGGCACAGTTTTACGTCTGCATCGGAGTATTGGCCTTCCTCTACAGCACTGCCACACTAGTCTTCTACTTGGGCTACCAGCACGTATACAGAGAATCTAGTCGTGGCCCCACTTTGGTATGTTTGTCTGGATTCTCCAGATTTTGCAGTTTGCAGTTTGTGGTGAAATGCTTGTGCTTAGCCAGGTCCATCTCTCCGTCTATGAATAGCTTGGAGCTTGTATTTGAAGCAGGAAAGTGTTTCCTGTGTTGAGCTGTTGTGTAAATTCAGCAGTGATGGACAGATGAATGCAGTTTTATTAATGTAGTAGTGTTGTCAAAAAGAACGATGTGGCGACACATATGGTTTCTGAATATTTGAAATGGTCTCAACACTCACTTTCTTCAGTTTCAATACAACTTTCTCGCTCTTCCTTCTGTCCAACAGCAAGATGACACACGCACACACTGCTGCAATGTCCCAGTAGCCCCGCCCCCGCTCACTTACTCACTCACAGTGCTGTCTTCTTGTCAGTCGACTCATTCACTGCAGTTGCATGTAGTCTTTTGTGGCATGATTTGTTTATTCACTTCTACTTTATTGCCTCATGAATGTGTGACAGTATGAGAGGCTTTTGAATGCGTGCATGACTGCAAGAAGAATATTGTTTTCATTAATGGAAAAAAGTTGAATTATTGTTATGGTTAACTACAGTCCAGTACAGTAGTAAGTACAATCCAAATCAAGAAAAGAAAAGCATGTTTTATATGTTTCCCCGTGGTATCAAAAACTGTATCAAATATCAATATTTTTCAAGGTACTGTATTGAATTTACAAATTCCAGTATCATGACAACATTACTATGGAGGCAATATTTGTATTTATATTGCTTTGTGTGTTAAATTTTCACCTGATGTGAGCTGCTGGATTTCAGTGAGTCTGCTTCATCCTGGAATCCAACAGGAGGTCAGAGAAAGTGCATCTAACAGAGCTGTGTAAATGAAACAGGGAAGGGTGTGGTCCCCAAGCAACTAAGCAATATATTGCACTCTGTCCAAGAAAGCTGCCTGACCACTGTGGGTGGTTTAATGGTTTTAATCTGATATTTTTTCTTTTCTAAGGACCTGCTGGTGACTGCAGCCTTGGCCTTCATGTGGCTTGCATCATCCTCTGCTTGGGCTAAAGGCTTGTCTGATGTGAAGTGGGCCACCAGTCCTACAACCGTTATTTCTCAGCTTACGTTTTGCATGGCTGTCAACAAGTGCAGCCAAGGTGCCACACCTCACATGGGCCGACTAAACGCCTCTGTGGTAAGTTGGCCATCTGATAAGTCTTTTTCAGACGTGGTCAAACGTGTGCGTACAACGACAGCCTCAGATATTTAACTCGTGTCTTATTCTTCTGCAGATTTTTGGGTTTCTTAACCTCATCCTGTGGGGCGGGAACTGCTGGTTCATTTACAAGGAAACACCTTTCCACAAATCAGCCAATCAGCCTGCAGATGTGGAGGGGGGTGTCAGGCCATCGTAACCACACAGCTTCCTCATTTCACAATTTTCTAACATGTAGCGTTATTAAATGAGTCATTTTGGTACTAATTGTTAAAAAAATAACGCAGATTACAAGATACACATATTCAGAACAGACTGATCCTTTTTTGCTACGTATTAATTTTATATTTAGGATTTGAACTTTTTGTAGTTAAATCAATACAGGAAATTTTTGCAGTCAAATGTTTTTCAAATAGATGGTTGTTTTTCCTGTTTTAAAGGTTCTGTTGTAACTTAAAGAAAATTCTTATCGTTACTGAACCCTCTCTGTGAGGGCATTAAGTAAACTGCAGTCAGCCTCCTGTTACTCACACTTCCATGAGCACAAGACTAACACTGATTGACCATCATCATATTGACGGAAGCCTGTAAGATAATTTCAGTCACACATAGAATAATATCAATATCTGCAATCCTTCCATATTTCATTTGGACGATTGGCTCCATGATACTAAGTGGCTTTTGCAGTTTACATTACCAGCTCATGTTACAAGTAACCATGTAGAATAGCTAACATTAGCTGGCTAACATTAGCTCAGACTGTGGTTAACTCATTGGCTGCTGCTGCATCACTTTTGGCTCGTAGAAACCACTTTGTACCGTTATATCATTTATTGTTGGCTAAATAAGCACCAGTTGTCATATTACATAAGTTGGTATCGTGTATCACGTTAGCTGGGGAGGTAATTTGGCAAGCTAGCCAACCAACAGATCCACCCAGATCGTATTTTGCTAGTAATAATGTTAGCGATCAAGCAAGCTAAGGTAGCCAGCTAGCCGTAAGCCCAAGTAAGCTGCGCTTTATTGATCCGGTGTTAGTTGCTGTGTGTAACTTAGCTGATAAAAGTCATTTGCAAATGGTAGGGTTTCATATAAAACAATTATACCCAGGTATCGAAAACAAAGTGTCCCTTATATCTCAGATAGTACTGAAGATTGAGCCATTGCTTTTGGCTAGTAGAAAGCACTTTGTACCATTATATGATTTAATGATGGCTAAATTAGCACCAGTTGTCATAAGACACAAGTCGGTATCATGCATCACGTTAGCTGGGGAGGTAATTTGGTAAGCTAGCCAACCAACAAATCCACTTTTGCTAGTGATAACATTAGCGAGCAAGCAAGCTAAGGTAGCCAGCTAGCTGCCAAAGGGGAACTGCCCATTGGTTCGACAGCCCATTGGTTCGACATCCCATTGTTCCGACCATATTAAACTCATTGTTCCGAAGTCCGTTCCGAAATCATCATGATGCCCTGTGGTTAAGGTCTGGTTAGGTTTAGGCACAAAAACCACTTGGTTAGGGTCAGGAAAAGATCATGGTGTGGGTTAAAATGAAAAAGAAAGTGACAAACACATAAGCCGTGAGCCTGCTCCGCCTCAAGCCGGTCGCGGCGCACCATATGCCCGCCGCAAGCCATTCAGCACCGCGGACAGTCGGACTAATGGGATGTCGAACCAATGGGCTGTCGAACCAATGACATGGACCCCTGCCAAAGTAAGCTGCATTGTATTGATCTAGTGTTGGTTGCTGTGTGTAACCTTAGCTGATAAAAGTCATTGCAAATGGTAGGGTTTCATATAAAACAATTATTGGTAAAAAAGTTACATAGGCCTACAGAACCTTTAACATATTTATACCCAGGTATCAAAAACAAAGTGTCCCTTATATCTCAGATGGTACTGCAGATTCAATCGTTACTTTTGGCTAGTAGAAAGCACTTTGTAACATTATATGATTTAATGATGGCTAAATTAGCATCAGTTGTCATAATACACAAGTCGGTATCATGCATCACGTTAGCTGGGGAGGTAATTTGGCAAGCTAGCCAACCAACAAATCCACTTTTGCTAGTGATAACATTAGTGAGCAAGCAAGCTAAGGTAGCCAGCTAGCTGTAAGCCAAAGTAAGCTGCACAGTATTGATCTAGTGTTGGTTGCTGTGTGTAACCTTAGCTGACAAAGTCATTTGTAAACAGCAGTGTTTCATTAAAAACAATTAATACTTGTAAAAAGTTACATAGGCCTACAGAACCTTTAACATATTTATACCCAGGTATCGAAAACAAAGTGTCCCTTATATCTCAGATGGTACGGCAGATGTGGACTGCAACCTTCCAATTGTCAACAGCCTGTCATTTCAGCCATCAGCTTTATCTTAAAAAACAAAAACAAACAAAAAAAACTCAGGGCTGATAAATATTAAATACTTGAAGTGCATTTATTATTAACGCAAGTCTAGAGAAAATCCTGTTTCTGTCACATCCTAAAACATATAATAGGCATCAATATATGTAGTTACAATGAAGTAATGTTAAAATAGTTGAATCCAGTTGCCATGATGAGATTATTTGTGAAAGGGTGAAAGTAATTTTATTTCATTTTTTTGTGTGTGTTATGTTGCACCTCATCATTTCACTATAGAAGGCTAAATGAAATGTTTTAGCCCAACATCTGAATGGTATGTTGAATGTAGGGGATGTATGTGGAGCACGTTCGCTCTTTATGAATTTTACCTTTTAAAATTATGAGTTATTAGGCAGAATTTCCAATCTTTTTCCTAGATGTTTAGATTTCTAAATAAATAAAATACCCCAGCAAGATACTACAGTATTTCAAAGCCAATGTATTACTAATTGTACAGCCTTAGCTAGTGGTGAGTAAAAATCGACTGATTTCTAGCCTGTAACTAATAAACACTTTTTCTTGCTTTTGCCTGGCTTCTACCTCTATTTTGTTATAAGACGAGCTCTTTTCTTTATTACTGCCATTGTGATGATTTCCCACTTTGATAAAGCCTTGCTTGATTCAGTTACTAGTTTAATCCACCACTGCGTTGATAAAAGTGTCACATGAATGAGACTGAAGTTTCTGTTGCAGTCCAGGAAGATACTGCATGGTCATGAAATGCTGTGCATCATTAAAAGGAAGAACTGGACTTGTTGTGTGTCTGATTTTATGGTTGATGGTTTTACTGCTGATAACACACATACTGAACGTAATGTTTTTATCATACAGGTGAATAAGATCTAACACTTCTCACACACTGAGCATTAGATTTACAACGTGAACTGTAATTAGTCAAAGAGCTGATACTGTTTTATCATTAATTAGGCATTAGACAAGGCCAGGTAACATGCAGTGCAGTTTGACACTCACTAGGTGGCAGACATGCCTCTTCCATCAGGCATCATCATTCACTGAAGACAAAAACATCAAACACACGTGCATGATCCTTCGTGAGAACCTCTTCAGTCCAGTGAAGTGATGAGTTTGAGCACCTTGAACTTTGAGAAACTGTGATGGGTATATTTCACTGATCTTTTAACATCTGATACACTAGTAAGTTAATCAGAAAAAAAATATTATGATTCAGCTCCACAAATTAAATGCAAAAATCCTCAAAGGTTCTCAAAGGTTTGACCACTTTAGGTACAAAAGGGAGCCAGCTTACGATTGAGGGTCAGGTAGAGTGCAGACACTGTGACTTTTTTATGACATACTACTATGTTTTAATAACTTTTTTTCATTGCACACTGTACTATGACCTTTTTATGACATTTTTATGTCATACTAACACTTCAAAACTAGAACACTGTACACTGATATAGCCTACAAATCACTCTTATCATACATTCTAGTTTTACACTTTGTAACACATTTAAAGGTAATAAAGTAGACAGTACAGTGTTTGGCTACAGACTGTATATAGCCTACAGTAAATGTTTGACAATGATTATACCTCCCCACAGCATTCAAGCAACGGCTACTGCTGGGGTAATGCAACGCCACTTGCACAAACCGCATGTTGAACTGCAGTTCATAGTTATTTTGGATGGCAGGGTGTGGTTGCCTCTCTTAGCTTTTTTATATATATATATATATATATATATATATTGGAGGGGACATTTTGAACATACTTGAATATGGGTGCGTGAGGTGTCACCCACTGCATAGGAATCTATCCATATTACATTCATTTTCAATCAGACATGTTTTTAGTATAGTGGTTGTAAAGCATATATGCAATAAAACATTTTGCAAGGAAGCCATCACTCTAAAAAATAGTCCACTGGTTGAGCTTTAAAAAATAAAGATAACAAGTTGCATGTATCTTTTTAAGTAGCTCCAACTCTGGCACTCTGAGTGAGTCTTTTATTATCTGACAAACTCAATTAGTTCAGTACAACCAACATGATTTGCTTTGACCTTGAAAAACCAACTTAATATTTATCCAAAAGTTGTGTTGATATTTAGTGGTCAAGCTATTATATTAAAGATATTCTAACTTATTTATTTTAATTCTATCCAACTCAAACATGTTTTTGATTTTGACCAACTTCTTAAAATAAGTTGTCAACTGACAAAAACACATTACTGAAACAGACATGTTTTTATGCTGAAAGACTTCTTTATTTTAAGCACTATCCACTAAACCCATGAAAATGTTTTTTAGAGTGTACAATTTAACTTCCGTTATGTTGCATGCCCCAGTCTCAGTCTGTTGTAGATCTGAAATGTATTCTGCTAGTTTAGTTTAGTTTAGTTTAGTTTAGTTTAGTTTAGTAGGATCCTCATAGGCTTCTGTGTTGCAGCAGCTATTCTTCCTGGGGTCCACAACAACTTTACAATTGCGACAGTGCACAAAAACAACTCACATATAACACTGAACAAAATAACAGGACTAGACTAAAACACTGACACTGACAAACAAGACAGCCCCTCCTAATACAATAAATAAGATATACTTTTTCATGATTTCATTTGGTACGTAACTGCCAGTTTGGGGCTAAGTTTCGCTCCTGATGATGATTACCTGATGATGCTACATTATTGTAATATTAGACCAAGTATTTACATAATACTATACATTCACATTTGTAGCCTATGTTTACCTACACACACTAAATGTGCATTAGAGGAATAGTTCCCAGGAAAACAATATTTTTTACCATGCATGGAGTTCATTACAGTGTATTAATCATATTATAGGTTACCTTTTCTTGTTAGCTCCTTTGGAAAACATGAAAATATAATTAGCATACTAACAGAAAACAATCATCAGTTAAATGTCCCTGCTCCCCAAAGACAGACCCTTCACATCCTGAGACACATGACACAGTCAAGCTTACCTTTGATATAAATTAGTTAGGCTTTGACACCTATATACTTTGTCTGTTTAATAGATAATCTAAGTCAAGAGGTGCTGCTTTAGTAGAATTTTAAATCTAGTTTTATTGTTTTCCTGTGTGATGTGTGGAGGGAGTGAGTTTCACTCATGCATAGCTCTGTGCAGGGTTTAATAGATATTCTGCTGCTGGCAATATTTGCTGTAAATTCTTGTTCAGATGTCTAAAGGACAGTTTTATAAACATCCATACCCTGGTCGTTATTATTTGTTCACGACCACACAGTGAAACGCGGTCGCGAGCTTCGTGACGCGGCTGTAAGCGCGTGGCCTGACGATTTCACCTCGTGAGCGCGCAAGAGCAGCAATGGCCGCTGTGGATCGGCGAAATCCTAATCTCGACGACTTTGTGGGATTAAACTGGAGTTGTTGGGTAGATAGGGTGAATATTGTACCATCTGACGGTGAGTCGCTCTCCCTGCCCTATACCTGGTGTTCATCACGTCACGGTGTCCACGTCCTGTGATTTATTTGTTGTTACATACACATAGAACAGCGGTACACAGGGCGACCCAAACAAAAGACCCGCTGGGTCCTAGCGCAGGGTGAGTTTGCTAGGAATGTTAACTGGCAACAAACAATAAACTCATTAAAATAAAGGGTTTTGGGGCATTTTGTAATGTCTTAATAAAACAGTAGCTAGTTAACTGAAGGCGAGCTGCTTACCTGTGAACAGGTAAAGGCACCGTTAGCATTAGCCTGTCAGCTACTATCACAGCAAACACAACAACACTACTTAAGTAGGATTTGTCCAGTTTGCTAACAGAGAAATGTACCAGGCAGCAGCAGCGACTGGACCACAGAACAAGCTAGCAGCTGACAGTGGGTGTTTGATAGGAGAAGTTTAAATAATTGAATTTTATCTGGATACCATTTAAATTTCATGAGTAAATCCCGGTGAAACCTCCTCAAATCTGGAGCACGGACTGATGTGAGCGACTTGTTCCGGGTTTTACTCATCAAAAAGCCCAGATATCAGTAACAGTGCTTCTTGGTAGATGCTATAACGTTAATGTCTTATCCCATTATTTAATGTGGACTGTTTTCCCTTTCATGCAGCTGGGTCCAGTGTTGAAGACAGCAGCAAGTATGGGAGTACCCACTCCGAGACCATGACCCTCGGCAAAGAAGGTGACTCAATGTTTTCATGTGTTCAAGTAGGTTTGCACATATAGCATATAGGGAATTTGTCCCAGTGATTTGGTGCATAGCAGTAGATACAGTACTAAGGTCAAGATCTCAATCACTCTGAGGGCATTCAGCATTACCTTAGGTTCATGCATTTTGCTTTAAAGGAACAGTGTGTAAGATTTAGGGGAATTTAGTGGCATCTAGCAGTGAGGAATACAGATTGCAACCAGCTGGATCATTTACTGGTGAGCACTGCTTCAGTGTTCATTATTTAGGAGAGTTTTACCAGGAGCAGAATTATTTGAAAAGGGTCTCCCCCTCTTCAAAACAAATGGACCTGAGGCCTCTACTACAAAGCAAGATTTGAAGTTAGCGAACTTCAGGGTGAACCCTGGGTTTTCAGTACTATGAAGCTGGTTCTCTTTTTACAGGGGTAAGTCACAGAGCTTCTAACAAACAGAGAGATTGTTTATAACACACGTGATTTTAGCTGTATTTAAACTTATGCAAAGTTTATTTTAGTCTGCAGTGATAGTGCTGTTACTATTACATTGTGTTTCAATTACCGCAGCTCAAAATAACACGAGACACAGAACCAGGATAAAACAAATAATATTTTATTAGTAAAATAATCCACACACTGTTAATTTGCTTCCCTTTATTATAAATGCCTCATTTTGGTCAGATAGACCTTAGTAGTCATTAACTACTTTTCCACCCTTCACTTCAGCAGCAGAAACAGTCTGGCACCGCTTGAAAGTGTGTTATGTGACATATTCAGAGTAGTATTATCATCATCCAACTAAACGGTAAAAAATAGTCTATACAAATGTCACATAGGCCCAAAGCTCAGTGATTCCTGCATGTAATTTAAGTGTTAGCCGACAGTGAATCTTTGATAAGCATTTTCAATATTCCTTGACTCTCTGATTGAAGATTGCAGATTGTTATTCACATCCCACGCCACTGACATTTTACTGACCTGCAGTCACAAACCCTTTTGGTACCGTTTCATCACATGTGATATGAAGCAGCCTCCTTCATTCATGGTTCTGATGATCTCGCTCATAATTAACACCCCGCCTCTTTCACATGAACAAGCTCGTGGCTGGATAGGAAAACCCAGAGTTGACTGAACTAGTTGATAACCTGCTTTGTAATACCCATTATCCAGACGGCCAATGTTAGGGTATTCAAACCAGATAATGAAAAGATATTCAGGGTAATTTGAACTGGCTCTGTAGTACAGACCTCTGGTGATTTAAACTGGTAAAAACACTGAATAAAGCAGTTTCATTGTTATTCCAACATTCATCGCTGAGGGGCTGCTAATTGCGGTGGCTGACACACTGGCTCCTATGTTTGGTTTGTCTATTCTGGGCTACTGTAGAAACATGGCAGTGTAACATGGCTATTTCCGTAGAAGACAAGAACCAGCTCCTTACATAGATATAAATGGCTCATTCCATGGTAATAGAAATACAATGATTCATATTTTCAGATGATTATACACTATAGAAAACGTACTTATTATATAATATTCCATTTTTGCATGTATATCCCTGTAAATCCTACACACTGGACCTTTAACTCTGTCGTATTCTGCTCCACAGATATGCACACATTTGGCCACTGCCCGGCACACGATGAGATCTATCTGGTGGTGTGCAGCCACTGTGGCCAGGTGGTGAAGCCTCAAGCCTTCGAGAAGCACTGTGAGCGGCGGCATGGTCCTCTCACTAAGATGTGTGAAACATCCTCAACTTTGGCTCCACAGCAGCGACCACGCCCTGCTCGCTCTCCTTCAAATCATTCCTCCTCTAAAGAGAAGCAGAAAGCTGGCAGATGTCATGAGGCCAGTGCTTCTTCCTCAGCAGCATCACCAGTACACCAGCACAGGCCTGGCAAGGCCCAGAGGGAGGCAGTGAGGTACTGGTTAAGATTGTTTACTTCACAGCAACTCAGGGAATTATTCTGATTTAGCAGACGCTGAACTCGTTGATTGTTTTTTCATAGTGTTGCTTTGTTGAAATGAATGGTGGAAATAGATAGATGTGTGTGGGACAATATAACATTTGTTTGTGTCATTGAAGAAAAAATGTTAGTTTTTATAGTTGACACTGAATGTAGTAACTCTCTTTGTTTATTTACAAGTTCAGTATATCACTGACCCAGCTGGCAGGGCCCTAAAGAAACCATGTACACAGAGAATAATGTCAATCATCATTTCAAAATGCTTTGCAATCTGATCCCAGTTAGAAACTACTTGGTTTTATGTCATTTGGAACTTGTATAAACCTGAATCTAGTCACAATTTGTATCTAGATTCCAAGCCTGACTTGCATAAATCTCACAAGTTAATTCTGTGATTTACCCCTCTGACTCCTTCTGCAGTTTTCCTTCAGTGGAGAAGTTCCCTCAAGAGAACACTCCCCTCCCATACCACTCCTCCTCCTCCATGCCTCGCCCTAAGGTCCCTCCGTGGCACTCAGGACCCCTGCCCCCCGGCCACTGCTCCTCCTCCACTTCTCCGTCAGGGAAACTCTCAGTGCAGAAGCCCACAGCCGGGCAGTCCAGTGAGTCTCACAGTCCTCTGAGGGGCACAAGAACTTACAGCCGGATTCACAAAAACAATAGTATGTGTGCTATTTATACATCTGTTATTACCTTCCCCTGCTGTGTTTGTGTCATGTCTCTAAACTGTCAAGGATCAGTAAACATATAGTCTATTAGCCTGGGTATATTATGTTGTATACAGCAGAAGCAGAAGTAGATTGAATCCATAATTATTGCCTTTTTTTAAAAAATATGACCATGTGGTGGTCTGTAATCTCTCCAGTAGCATGGATCACGTTGATTGTCTGTGTCCCGCTGTTGCTCACTGACTACTGTGTTTGCTTTCTTTCCCATAGAGAAAGAATGTGAACTGAACAAACAGTGCGGAGTTCTGGATCCAGAGAGGAAGAGGCCGTGCAGCCGGGAGCTTATATGCAATGTAAACGCTCAGTGCCTTTTTTATGGCCTTTTGTCCAATAATGTTACCAGTATATTTATTTTTCATTATTCTCCAGAAGTATGAGTCCTTTGTCTGAGAAGTTGAATTTGTTATTTGATACAAAAACATGCAAGATTTTATCATTTGTTTGGGATGGGATGGGATGTAATGCTTCCTTTTTCTTCCCTGTGCTATTATTTCTACACAGACTGATTCCATCCACCAGCAGGAGCAGAAATCACTAGGAAGGACTAAGACTGTTGATCAATTGGCAGAGGAGCAGAAAACAGGCTCCGCAGGTCAAGAGATGGAGCAGCTTCTTGTCAAATCAAAAGACAAAGCACAACATCTGGAAGCTTTTGAAGACAAAATAACAACTCAGGGCAGTAAACACAACTTCAACAGCAACTGTCACATTCTCAGGTATGAAATAGGATTTTTTTTTCCATATTAAAAAAGTTCATTTGATTCACCAAAATACCTCTTGAGTAATCAATACAAAATGTTGCTAAGTTGTAATTCTCTAAGTCAAACAAGGGCAAAATGACATGAAAGTCCAACAACATCATTACATACTCATCCTGCAGGTCTCCAAATATACATGTGGTTACCTGAAGTGCACAGCTAACCTGCTAGCATTGTTCGCAATCTCTGTTTCAACCTGTTGTCATCACAGTTTTCTTATTTCGCACAAAACAGACAAGCATACAAAATAAACAATCATTGTGTTGATCTGACAAAACATTCAGTTTGAAAAAACACATGTTCTAAATGGTAAAAATGGAGAGTGTCATCAAGATGGTGACGTCTTGATGCTAATTTCTTAATCTGAATATTTTTTTGTGTCGATCTATTGTCTAACATACTGCATCATTCTCATTTTTTGTCTTCTCCTGCCTTCAAAGCGGGCAATCAGAAAACGTCCCAGAGGAGGAAGGCAACAAAACTGTGGAAGTGGAGGCACAACCTCAACAACCCTTCGACCAGAGCCTGCTGTCAGGAGATGAGAGTGAAGACGATGAGCAGGAGGAAGCCATAGACCTGCCTGCAACACCCTGGCACCCTAAACCTCTCGGGGTGAGTGCAGATATAGTAGCAGAATACAAAAGTACTTCAGTATGATTGTTAAAAGGAGTCTGTTAAACAAGTCTCATTTATCCAGTCGAACGCTCAGTACTTCCCAAACAGACAGCCCTTTTCAACGGGGAACTAAACTGAAAGTGAAACTTAATCTATGCTCTCTTCAAAGCCAGCCTCCTTTGACAAACACTGTAATTTTACCTCACTGAACACGGTAGCCTTGGACCAAGACGTTCATTGCATTGCATTGCATGAACGTCTTGAAAACGAACCCCGTTTTTCGTTTGGGGGTTCCCGGTCTAGACCGATTCACATCTCCATAAACGTTCAAATCAAACATGTAATGTATTCACCTCATAGGCACAGATGTTAGGAAGGTGTATGGGGGGTTGCCGTGTGTTTGTATATCCATTATTGTTCAATAAACATGCATTTTATCTCGGGATGTCTTGAAATTTTCTTCACCCCTTCTTCATCCAATCAAGGAGTGCACCGGCTTTCTACTGCGCCACAGCGCTGCGATAGCGGTTGGGAGGTGTATTGCACATTGGTAGTAAGAGGCTCTAGCCTTGGACTAAGACTTACTACCAATGTGCAATGCAGTGTTAGTTTTTTGTCCAGTGGAAGAGGGGCTATGAGTAGTTGACATACAAATGGTCATTTGAGGGGTTATGTATTCCTTTAAGAGAAATTTAAAAAAATAAATAAATAAATCCTTTTCAAGCAGTTTTGATGTTTTAATGTAGAGAGTGAAAATCACTGGGCGGATGTAGTTTCCTTCTCTCATTTGAATACAAAACGGTGGGACTCAGTCGATTCTTTTTAAACTCACTATTTACACCTCTCAAAGGAGGCATAATTGTGTCTGTATTATAAAACTGTTTCTGTTCTGCAGCTATGCACTTTTGGATGCCGCACATCAGGATGCAGCATCTTCACCTTCGACCGACGTTTGCACCACCTGCGGTTTGCCCTCAGCGCCATGTTGGAGCACCATGTCAGCACACACTTGTGGAAGTGAGTAACACTACTTTATTTTATTGAAATTCTATAGAAATATCACCTATTTGAGCATGACAATGTGAAGGAAAGAGATGCTCAGTGAGTCGGGGAACACTAAGCTAGGATCCACTACAATTTTTAATTATCAGATGAGAAAAGGACAGATGTTAACTGGATACTCTTATAAAAATGGCAAGAGTATCACACAAAGAAACATCTGAAGAAGATAAAAAGAACTGATTGAGTTGCCAAGTTGGTTGGTTTTCACATCATCAACAGACAGACTAAAGCAGAACTTTAGTGTATTTGCCTGCTTCAAGTGCATTAATGCAGTCAGATTTCAGGACTTGAGCACACAGTCATGCACACTCAAATGCAGAGATAACATTTGCTAAGATTTGGGAGGATCAGCCACTGGATAATTTGTCTCATACAATGAAATGAGGATGCAGCTGATTCACCAGAACAACATCAGGGTAAGTGAAAATGTTGGATGTCTGGCTTTATTTTCATTGACATTGAAAATAAGAATCTCAATCAGCTTTGTGTATTTCCTTTTAACTTACAGGAAAATGCCTCAAGCATCACCAGGTCTCAGGTCACGTCATGTCACACCTTCAACTGTAGGATCACCTGTCAGAACTGGGACCAGACCCTCCAAATCCACTGGCTCCCTCAGCCTTCAGTCTACCTCACTGGGACAACTGGAACCCAAAACCAGTCAGCACAGATCTCACAGTATCAAACCACCTTCCTCCAGCACACCTGTGAAACAGCGCAACCCTGTTGGGCGAGCCAGCAAGGCTCAGCTGAGGGAGGATGAGCTTATACAAGATGCAAGCACTCCACAGAAAGTTGCCAAGCTGTTACACAGCGTTGAGGACCAATCCCCTAAATACATCAGGGATCCCCCCCTCAATGAGAAGGGTCAGCCACACGTCCCCTCTTCTCAAGGACCAATAAATGGTAGTTTCTCACACCGCTCCCCCCGCAACAGAGGGAAGCCCCCAGGGATTCAGCAGAAGGTGGCGAGCTACCACCACAGGGGTTTTCCCCAAAAGCGCAAAGGAAGCAATGAGTCACTCCCCCTCAGCGCCAGATCCTCCAAGTATCAAGGCTTGTCGTCCCCTTCCCGCTCCAGCCTCCTCGCCTGGAATGGAGAGAATATGGGGGACGCGCGGGCTTTGGGCCTGGAGAAAAGATCCAACTCCTAAAGCGTGAGTACACTATGGCTATGGCAGCCAGTACTGTAGGTCGCACAACATCAGTGGTGTTTGATAATGTGGATCTATCCATTTAAGCCTACAATGACATGAGTGGCACTGAACATGTTCTCCATCTGAACTTGATTGCATGTTTTAACCACAATTAATACATTTGCAGGTGACAGGTGTTTACCTCTTATCTTCACAGCCATTAAAGAGGCCAGTTTTAAAAAGACGACTTGGAGGGAAGGCCTCCTGCAGGCTGCAGCTGCTGCCTGAATGTGTGTGTATCTGTGTGTATGTTTTATGTCTTCACATTTTTATGTACAGACATCAGGAATTAAATTTTTGTCTGCATGTTTACCAAATGTGTGTGTTTTTGCAAAATGTCTATTTTTCTACGTGACTAAGTGTCTCAGTTTGTTACCTGTGTAAGAATGTGAAAATACCTCAGTCTACTCATCATGCTGCTAAAATGAAGTCATTCAATGGCAAAACAATAAAAACTCTTGAATCCTTACAGCCCTGTGTCTTCTGTTATTTAACTGTGGTTCTTTACTAATGGAGCATTAAAGATGGTAAAACAATGCAATTTTGATGAGGTTAGGTTTACTCAAATTATGACAATTGACAGGTGTACATGTATTTGAAAGTTTTTCTTTTAATTGTCCCAACTGCTGCTTGGACCACTTTAGATTTTCTAACACCAGATGGTGCTAGCTGGTATTGGATAAAATCAGTCAAGCAGCTGGGCAAACAGAGTAGTGTTGTCCTTGTTTAACCAGTCGGACACTGTTACATGTATTAAATTCTTATAAAAGTGAAATAACTCCTGCACACCCTCTAACTTAGTGCTTTATTTATGACATTTAAGTGTAAAAACAAGCAATGCAACATTTCTATGTATATATACTGTAGATGGATGGATGGATGGATAGGTAGGTAGGTAGGTAGAAATGTAGGTAGATAAGTAATAAGATAGGTAGACGGGTAGGTAGGTAGATGGCTAGATAGATAGGTAGGTAGGTAGAAATGTAGGTAGATAAGTAAGGTAGATGGGTAGATAGGTAGGTATGTAGGTAGATACGTGGGTAGAGAGGTGGGTAGGTAGGTAGAGAGATAGGTAAGTGGAGAGATAGGTGGGTAGGTATGTAAATTGTAGATGGATAGGTAGGTAAATGGGTAGATGGATAGGTAATTAGGTAAATGGTAGATGGAAAGGTAGGTACATAGAAAGGTAGGTAGGTAGGTAAATGGGTAGATGGATAGGTAGGTAGGTGGTAGGTACGTTGTCTGGCAGGTAGGTAGAGAGATGCAGGATAATTTATCCAATCTGCTTATTATGGATTATGCTTGTATTTGTAGTTCAGTTTCTTATTTTAAAAAAAGTTACATATGGAGACAGAATGAAAATGAGATGCTTGATTATGTAAACTTCCCTATTGATTATTGATGGTTTAGATGTGGCCAGTAAGTGTCAACGTTAACATACAGTAGTGCACTACCTCATTTTACCACTAGATGGTGTTAAGCCATTAATGTTGCTCCTCACAAGACGCAGCATAATTAATCATCTCCACCAAGTTATATAAGCACACACTGTATATAAACCTACTTAGTCTGTTGAACTGTGGTCAGGGGACAGGTTATAATTATACTAAATCTGTGTGACGCCTCCCGGAGAGACTGTACATATTTATTTGTTTATGTCATATACTTTTTAATGTTCTGTATATTGTCAATAAAAAATGTCAAGTCAATTCCATGATAAACAGTTAAAACCTACAGGAAGTTTATACATGACACATCTGTGTAGATCAGCCCTGCCATAAGGCTCTTTGACGTAATGCGGCTAAAATTCAGTCGGTTACAAATTAAGGAGACGCATGGTGTTACCTCTGAAGTGTCCCAAAATGGATACTCTATATTTACTGTGTTAGCAACTCTACATTAGTCATAGTAATTCTGGTAAAATGTCACAGCTCTGTCCCTAAAATACTCCATGAGCCACACAGATTTAGAAGCAAATGAATACAAGAACATGCCATAGATGTCTTCTGGAAATAGTAAGAGCAAATAAAAAAATGGAGTCAGCACAAAGTGTAAATCTTGATCTTTTTATTAAGTCAAATGATCAGTATTCTTTATCTTTAATGCCTACAAGGTTGCACCTATCCTGCAGTCAGAGAAGCTCTTAAGCGAACCATGCAAAGCCATTCCACTTTAGCTGCGAGACCTTTTCAGATTTTATGGCAGTGACCAACCAGCTCATCTTTGAAGCAGCGGTCAATAAACTCAGTGCTTTTAATGCTATTAAAAGCTCCATTCTTGTCCTGTGGACACTTGTAGTTGCACACTGTTAAGCAGCAAGCTTTTAGCCCCACCGCCTCAAGGATGTTTCCGTAATTGCTACTACACAGATGAACGGAGATAGATGTACTGTATGTCGGGCAGAGACCACTCCCTTCCCTAATCTGTGAGAAGGGAACAGTTAATGTGCCATTCCTGCAAATAGCAAAGGGCCTGTGTACCGCACAGATCTCAAACCACAGATCTGATTGATGCTGAAAAACTGTGCATCGTATTACATTACAACTTAAAACTGACGTAGTCCTGAGAAGATTTATTTACCCTCTGTCTTCAAATCCATTCAAAACCCATTGTGTTTCAGGGATTCATCGGTGTGGGTGGAGAGATCTCTTGATTTTCCTACATTCCTGGCTTTTATAAAAATAATCTTTGACTTTTCTTCTGGACAGAAAAGTTGTTGCTTTCACTGTTGTAAAGTGTCTTTCGGCAAACACACCTTCAACTCCATACATCACCTGACGGAGCCACTTATCTGATAAAGCACTGCTTTCTCCTTGAATTCCTTATGGCTTTATGATACTGACTGAAAATAACTGACGGCTACATACTCACTGCCCATTAGGATGTATCAGTGATTTCAAAACTCCTCCTATGCAGTTTTTTTTCCGACATGTTCAATACATATTTTCAGTGTAACCATCCTTCAGCAGAGTCAAGTGTAAAATACATCCCATGTCAATAAAAAACTAAACCCCACCCTGCTTAAAAAATAAACATTTATAGTCAAGACTTGAGTGTTGAAACAACTAACAGTAGCACAGCGGCAGACGAAATGCAAAATGATCAACAACATCAGATTATACAAGAATACAGTCAGTACACTGGTAGAACATAGCAGTACACAACTAATCAATACTGAACACAGAAAAGTGAGTCTTAATACATATATATACTGTATATATAGATATATATAGGAAGGCAGATTTGCTTTGAAGAGAACAAAGCCTCTCCTCTTCTCATTTATATTAGGACCTTCGCAATAGCACTTGGTTTTTCTCTGTACACAACTATGACTTGTATTGTGAGTGACAACCCAGAGGAGAAGATCACCCGTTAGCCACGGCAGATTGATCTTGATTGACACGGGGTTATTGCAGGGCAAACACAAGCTATTCCTTGATGGTCTGGCAATTTAATGTGCGCTATTCAACAGCTGTAATATCTGTGTATTGTTTTAGTCATTTTAGATTCTGTGATTGGCTTCTCATGTTGCCTTGAGCGGCCAGAGGTTTAAGATTGACTCCATGATGAGAAAGCAGGTAACAGCACATATATTTTAACTCTACAGGGCAACACTTAGGGGCTGGATCCATAAAAATGGGATAGATTCTTCGCCAATTGCAGCCAGTCAGCCGTAGTGCTAAATGTGTCTTTATTTTAATGCATCTTGTGGTATTTTTGCAATCCTTTTCCACCTGGTATTCCTATGCGTGAGAGAGTGGAATGATTCACACACCACCTCTCTGATAAGTGTGACTTCCTTTTCTCACCCACACACAGAAGATGCTGCGTTGCACAGTGCAACTGTGAATATAACATCAATTTTGCGTAAAAACCTATTGCACTCTCCTGACATTTGACAGCTATACTGACAGTTAATTGCAAAGTGCATGTGATTTTACATATGTAGGTGTTATCATATGTGCACTCATATGTCAGGTTATGTCAAAACTTCCATCCAATTGCGTCAAGTAATTCTAACATAAACATAAATCCAATTAAGATGAATATACTATGAGAATTAATGTCACTATGGCTCATGGAAATTACCTGTGTGTAATTACTGTTAATATATTCTATGTATTTCAGATATGTTAATGTTCGTCATTTTTGAATAACACAGAATTTCTTGACAGAAATTACATAAATGTAATTCTATGAGCTATAGTTACATAAAGGCTCATAGTCTATTTAAGTTTTACTTTACTGAATTAAATTAATGGTGCTTTTTTGGTTTATTTGAGAATGACTTGACACAGTTGGCAGAAAATTTTATATGTAATTAACATACATAAACCTGACAATAGATTAATTTTTTTTGAGTGTGTGTTGTTGAAGTGGAAAACTAAAAAGCATTGAGCAATATATTCTCAATTATACTTTCTTAAGTTCTTATAGTTTCCAATCATATGACTCAGTTGGAGAGCAAATGTTCAATAACAGCTCCAGGCATTTCCCTCATAAACAAATTAGTGTCTACTTAAAGGGCATCACATTCACTGCCTGGCTGAATGATTGCTTTTGAACTTAAGCGAGGGCAGCCTCGTAATGACAGAGATACACAAACAAAGCAAACACATCTGGGCTGAATTGATGCTGTCAGCGTGCAGGGAGCCAGAGAGAATGGCTTTGTGTCGCTGTGACTCACGATAACACACCTATCCCCTCCTGCTCAGAGAGACAAAGACATGGGAAACAGAGAGAAGCTGCATCCCATCAAAAGACACAATTTATGCTGGGCTAGCCTTGTTGTATTATGACACGAACGCTGTGCTGTTTAATGAAATCACTCTTTCTTGTTTATGCCTGTTTTAAACCTTGTTAATGAAATATGCATGGCAAATGAGGTGGCTGGCACAATGAATTCAATTCACAATAGATTCAATTATAACTGTAAAAACTTAGTTATCTTCTGAAGGATCCCATGTGTTACAACAGGTTTTCTTTCAGTAGCTCTTAACTCAGCTCGCTCCTGTCAGACAACACAGCCTCATCAGCATAATCCTCTAGAGGAACCCTGTGGGTTTTATTTCTAATGTTTACCTGCTATTACAACGTGCTGCTTTTTCTACCTACCACAGGGCCAAACAGCGTGACACTTGTCCATCTGAGCAAAATGCAATATCAAATACTCAGTGGCAGTCCTAGACTCTGGAAGACAGAAGCCAATCGAGGCCTTCCAGCACCTCCTGGTGTCATTTTTCCCTTTTCTTGTTTTTTATTTTGTTTTTGTTGAGCAGAAAGGTTTGCTCGTCATGTGCTGACGGTTACACCTAACATATGTATGACAGTTTCAGGTAGCTAGCTGACGGTCGGTTGCTAAAAGGGGCCCCACTTAGGGTTTTTTTGGGGCAGCTGCAGTGCACTGTATAATGCCATTACAGGAGGTTTAAGGGGTTTTATAGTTGAGATGTCCTAATGCCATTTTTTCCTGATACAAATTCCCATACCTGGACTTGCTTATCTTTCTATTGTTATCTAATTTGACTGTCAATCGTAAAAAAAAAACAAAAAAAAACACTTAGGCATAAATAATAATTCTTTTAAGAAACCTAAAGTGTAGACACAATTTAGTAGCTCGCAACACTAGTGCCACCCCTCAAAACTAAAGCTTTGCAAACTGTACACGATGTTCTTTTACTGATGGGACTTTCCAGTGTAAAATATTGACAATATTGTCAAATTACCAACATTTTGCTGACGGCCAATGTTTCACTTTTTACCGAAAATCAATTCTTCTTCCTTGCTCTAAAACAAGGCCCGAGAGTTCGTCGAAATCCAGTGCCTTGTGGCATAGTTTAACGGCATCCGACGGCGTCAGGGGGAAACCAGGCGGGATAAGGACGAAAGTTAAGGCGGCGAAAGTCTGAGTGGGGCTAGAGCAGTGGTGGATGGGTCCAACAAACACTGACTTTCACCCAAGAGTGAACTCTGCGTCCCGTAAGACTGTAAACCTAAATCCTATTCTTTTTTCCTAAATCCCGGTCAGCTGGTCAGCTAAACTTTCAGCTGACCAGCTGCTCCTGAAAGTTCCCAAAACGACAAGCAGGCTCAGAGGGGACCGTGCTTTCTCAGCTGTAGCACCAAAACTATGGAATGACCTGCCTCTCGACATCAGACAAGTTCCATCACTGCATGTTTTTAAAAAGCGCCTTAAAACCCACCTGTTCTCTATGGCCTTTGATCCCGCATAAATTGATGTCTTTTAATTTGCTATTACTCATTTTCTTTACTAATTTTACTTATGTGCTGTGCCTTAAAATGTTTTATTGGTTTATATTGTGTTATTTTATTGCACTTTATGTTTTTATCTTTATTGTTTTTATTATGCTTTGTTTTATGTATATTTTATGTCTTATGCCTATTGTACACTTTATGTTTGATTGTGTACAGCACTTTGGTCCACTGGGTTTTTAAAGTGCTTTATAAATAAAGTTGGTATGGTATGGTATGGTATGGTATGGTAAACCCAACCAATTCCTCTTTTTGCCTAAACCTAACAATATGTGTTTTTTGAAAACTAAAGTGTATCTTGAAAGAAGCATTTAACAGGTAGAACTTGACACAGTGTCCCACAACATCAATAACCAACACACTCAGGGTACCTTGCATGTCATGGACGTGGAAAGTCCATGACATGCAAGGTACCCTGAGTGTGTTGGCTAAAACATCAATATGTGACGAGGTCGGAGTGAGAATGAGTTGCTAAAACAGCAGTTGCCAGTGGCTGCACAGCACACCTGGCTGTGTAGGCCACTGTTGAAGAGCGACAAAGAAGAATTGATTTTCAGTAAAACTGCCATTTTATCCAGGTGTGAAGCTAATTTCAAATGTCTCAATAAATGAAATGGTATGGGGTCGGTGCATAGAGTTGGGTACTCGCTGATACCCAGTCTAGCATTTTCAGCAGTGTTAAAGGCATTTCTTATACTGATATCGGCATCGGAACAACTCTAGTTTATAGTTGTCTGCAAAATTTGTCAGTATAAGTGGTCATCAGGGGCCCCTTTTTCATAATTTTTTGGGGAGGGCACCAAACATTTGCCTGGCTTGCCTCTCCTGACTGTGCGCCCCTGCAAATACTAAAATACATAAATTAGGACATAGGAATACACTAAGGGTAGGTTTTTGAGCAATTTTCACTAAAACGTGTCTGGATTTTATATAATATGCCCATTTAACATACAGGAAAGAACACAATAAACTCCAGCTCGCTGCTTTTAGCTTGGTATTTAACCTCCTGCTTATGTGACTGAGAGAAACATATGCTATAACCTGGCCGAGACGAAGAGTCTGCAGCTCTTCAGTTTGTGGCACCTCAGCCTATTAGTCCATGTAAGGAGCACGGTGCATGTCTGTATATAGAATTGAGACAATATGTTGATAATAAGTCAGGACAAAATACTTCCCTGCGTCTAATGCGTATCTGCTGGAGGCGTTCCATGTTTTTAATTGTGTAAGGCTTCTCTCGGGTTATACTGTAGATGTGCAATAACTAAGAGGCAACTATTTTGATATACAATTCATATATAAGCAATGATCTGCCTCAAGCTGGTTAACTATTGTGTACCTCTATGTAAATTGATCCCTTAACATAGCTTTCTCTTATATCGCTACACATATGACTATGAATTAGAATAATGATGAACTACATCTGAGTGCAACTAAGTGTCAGCTATGAAGTAGGATGAAAATGACCTGCGATGGCCTGTTAATATAATGTTTGTGCTACTGCTCTCGCAATATAAGTGACTAAATGTCTGATGAATGCACATTTTCTTCATCCCACATACACAGATCAGCCTGAGACCTCATATAATGTGGGCTTATGGCATGCTGTTTCTCTATAGATGACTCAAGGTTAACGACAGATGTATTCATAGCCTGGTGACGGCTGCCTGTCTAAGTCTCTGTCCCTGTGTTGATCGAGGAGGGGTAAATGTATATATGCTCTAATTTAGTTTGTTTTAGTTTTTAAGATACAATCTATTCTAGTCATTTTAATAAATATAATTATGAGCCAGCCATTGTTTCAATATACACTGCGTTTTTAAAATCTAATTTCAACCTGTGTATTGGATCATATATATTTCCCACACTTTAGCAGTTTATTTGATCACTTCCTGAGTGCTGATATCAACGTTATATCATCTACGTTTCACTCTCATAAGACTTCAGTAGTTTCCACTGTTCACTGCCTTTCCTTCACAGTATGAATATTAAGTGCTACAGATTAAAATGCTGGAAATGTCCTGCTTGTTGCCCTCGTCGGCAACAAGACAGTTTTTTTTTACTCCCTTTGAGATCCTTATTTCCAACTACAGATGAACGTCCTGCCTCCGTTTCCTCCCACAAGGTCACAGTCACAGTTTACATGAACTAAAAGATGGCTCACATTGTACCATTTACATCCAGTCGTGTGGCGTCCACCATCTCATCTCAGACCACCATGGGAGTGTCTGAGAAGACGGAGCTGATGGACTCTGCTACTGACTTCTTCCTCTTGCCCTTCATAAGAGAACCAGCCTCTGCATCCAGATCATCATCATCCTCATCCCCTTTGGGGTTCAGCTTGCCGTTCTGGCCCTGCAAGTCCTTGGAGTCTATGAACGCCACGTGCCTGTTCAGCTCGGCCTTGAGCGCTGGGTCTTCGTGGGTCGGTGTCACGCTGAGCATGGATGAGTGGATGCTGTCCTCGCCACGACCCTTGCCTTTATTGGGGCAGCAGAAGCAACGACACGGCGTCAGGTACAGATACATGAGCACCAGCACCACACTGGCCAGACAGCCCACCAAGGTGGTGTATGCTGTGTTCAGGGTCTCCCCGCCCCCGTGCATGGTGAAGTTGTGAACCTTCAGCACCACGTAGATCGTCTCATTGAAGACCTCGCTTGTCGCAAAGCAAGTGTAGGTCCCGGAGTCCTCAGTCCTCACTGGATTGATCTCTAGACTTCCATCTGGCAAGTCTTGGGCTGTCTGGTTGCTTCCACGTATCACCGGCACGTTACCAGGCAACATCCAGGTCTTTGACATGTTCCTGTGTTTGGTGTCACAGCCAAGGGTCATTCTCTGCTCCAGATAAGCCTCTTGAACTGCCTCCTTGAACGTGCTGCAGTTCATATTTTCACCACTGAGATCAAAAATGCCCACTTGGGTTTTTTGTGGGCCAGGCAGAATACACGTGTAGTCGTCTTTGAAGTCCACAGCAGAGTTGAGCTTTCGAATGTGCCAGTGGGCGAGGAGTTTGTAGAGATCACAGTGACACAGCAGAGGGTTACTGTGGAAGTAGAGGCCATTTTTAATCCAGGCAGGCAGCACCCGGAGCTCATCAATGGGCAACACCTTGATCTTGTTGGAGGACACGTCCAGGAGAGAAAGTTTCTCCAGACGGGACTTTTCCTTGACCAACTCCACGGGGAAGCGAGAGATTTGGTTCTGGCTAAGGTAGAGCTTCTGAAGGTTGAGCATGCCGGTGAATGCTGAACGGTCAATCTGGGAAATTTGGTTATTGTACAGCAAGAGGACCTCCAGGTTGACCAGAGGCTCAAAAATGAACTCATCCAGCAGTCGCAAGTTGTTGGAGGACAGGTCCAAGTAGCGCAGGTGCTTCACATATAGGAACGCCTCTGAGGACAGGAAGTGGAGACCATTATGGCTGAGGAGGAGGTTATGGAGCTTCGGGAGGTTGACTGGGGTCCACTCAGACCGCAGTCGCTCTATCTCGTTGTAGCTGAGATCCAGCACTGCAGTGTAGAGCGGGAGACCTGTCGGGACGGTGGTCAGATTCATCTTAGAGCAGCTTACTATGTTTGAGGCGCAGATACATGTCTTGTGGCAGTTTAGGGTGGATGCCACTGCCCCTGGAAGCCAGAGGAGAGCCATGCAGAGGGTGAGGGAGAGGACCCATCTCGGACGCTTGCACCGGTGAGGTAATGCTTCCAACAGGCTGTCACCTGTCCTCGTGGACGGCTGCAACATGCTAGCAGTTGATCTAAATCCCAGATTGGTTCACTACGATCCCATTCTCAGAGAACAGCAGGGAGGAGCAGCTGAAGGATTCCCAGGCATTGCTGACTGAAGGCTGGAAAAAAACAGAAGCAAAGGCAATTAACAGATATTATTAGACTGTAGTATATTCAATAGATAGATAGATAGATAGAAGTGTATATCATGCTTTGTACAATCACATATAGATAGACACACACACACACACACACACACACACACACACATATTTATGCCTTGGAGGGAATGTATTCAAATCCCAGTGATACCACAGTGGAAAATACAGCATATAAAAACACAATCAGTGACACAGGTGTAAACAAAAGGGCCACCTTACCACCACGATTCAAAACATGTGAGCTTGCTGTCACTCCCACATTGAACAAGTCTTTTAATACAAACAAACATAAGTGATACTGCTGTTTGAGATGCTGCTAAATGTGTGTAAACACAAGTATAAAACAGCATCCCTTGACGCAAACATGAATGCATATTTTTCATCTGTAAGTAGCATTCTTCTAAATATCCTTACATGGTCACGAATAAACAAAAAGTAACAAATATTAGCTGTTATTTATTTAAGTATTAAAAGTAATCATCAATAAGATTGGTCCCCTTTAAGCAGTATATTTTAATGGCACTTTATAAAGGTGTTGAGTGATTAAAACTATAGCTTATATTTTATAAGTTCAGGTGTGCAAGTAAAAGCTTATGCAAATAAAGGAGCGTGCAGCCACAGCCTGGAATGAATGCACAGCCCGGGCTGACTGCAACATCTCCCTCTCAAATGCCAAATCACCCGAGAGGCAGATATTTAAGTAAAGTAAATCTGTTTTGTGCACACTGCAGTACTTGAGTAAATGTCCTCAGTTACTTCCCACCTCTGCACCCATGTGGAGATGCAGTATTACATTTAAAGTAGCCGCTGTAGCCTCGTCGTGCATGTATTGTATGCAATACAAACTTCCCCCCGCTGCTTTGCACAATGCTTCCTATAAAACAAATAGCCTACACACGCACACACACGCTACTCACGCTAACTCATGTGCATTTACACTCTTGGAGGACATAGACTGATTTTCTTCCTCTTCCCATTTCCCTCTCCCTCTCTTTATCTCTCTGAGACAGAAAAAAAAGACTTGTACACATAAACAGAAAGAAAAAAAATGAATAAAACACACCAAACATGTGAAATTGTGTAAATATTTACGTTATGTCATATTATGAAATGTCCCTTTCCATTTGTGGAAGAGCCATGCAAACGTTGCATTGCACCATTCTGCGAAAACAAACGAGCACAACATGGAAACGTGAGCGCCGAGAGATGAAGGAGGAAACCGAGGGAGCCACCTACCTTCAACCGGGATGCAGCGATGTTGGATTTCATTAAAACAGCTCCTCGTCTATTTACAATGTTGCTCCAGACAAATTGTCCCTGAATGAGTCTGTGCGTCTGCTGTTGAGGACAACAACGGATGCAGGGAGGAGGGGAGAGCACTAGAGATATCCTCGCCAAAATAATCCTGGTCCACGCGGCATCCAATACCCGCTGCAAAATTACGCAAAAAAGGATTACGTAAAGAGCAGACAACGCACGTCCGTTGTTAACTACTGACATCCACCGATAAGCGACTCTGTATTAATCAGCTGTCTTAACGGAGCTTATTGCTCTGTGCACACACGGACGCACATCCGTCCTCTGCAGATAATTGGCGCATTTCGAGCAGGTCCGGCTTCTGTTGGGTCTCATCAGCAGCCATGGAGATAATTAAGAATGAGCAGTCTGTAGCTGACAAGCTTCCTGTGGCTTCTCGTAGGCCTGCTGCTGTCTCCGTGCAGTACCGCTGCAGTGGTTGACGTGTGTTTTTCGGCAGAGGTAGTGCGCTCACAAGGCGCTGTTTACTGAAAGTGGCCGCACTAAAGATGCGCTGCGGAGACGCACTACTGAAAACCCACCGGACAGAGCTGAGATGAGGGAAATGGACAAGACAAACCGGCCAAGAAAATATCATTCATCAGCTATTGTACAGCCATATAATAGCAGTTTATCTTTATGGTAGGTTTACATTTAACATCCATGGATGGATTAGGCTACTGAGGAGACCTTCAGGCACATACACAGGCCCAGGGGCCCCCTGACCATCATCTGCAAAAAGTCACTTAAATGAACATGTACTGACCAGAAAGACACTCAAATGACCTCAATGAGATGCAAAGAATCAAAGAATAACTACAAAAGGGGCAAAATAACCACAAAGAGACACAAAATGACTACAAAGTGATGCAAAACTACCAAAAGTGACAAAAAAATTACCTCAAAGAGATGCACAACTACCACAAGGAGACACAAAATGACAATAAAAAGAAATGCAAAATTACCACAAGGAGACAAAATGACTACAAAAAGATGCAAAATTACCACAAAGAGAAACAAAATGACTACAAAGAGACACAAAACAACCACAAAGAGACACAAATTGACTACAAAGAGATGCAAAACTACCACAAGGAGACACAATATGACTACAAAGAGATGCAAAATCACCACAAAGAGACACAAAATGACTACAAAGAGATGCAAAACTACCACAAGGAGACACAAAATGACTACAAAGAGATGCAAAACTACCACGAAGAGAGACAAAATGACTACAAAGTGATGCAAAACTACCACAAGAGACACAATATGACTACAAAGAGATGCAAAACCACCACAAGGAGACACAAAATGACTACAAAGAGATGCAAAACTACCACAAGAGTCACAAAATGACTAAAAAGAGATGCAAAACTACCACAAAGAGACACAAAATGACAAAAAAGAGATGGAAAACTACCACAAGGAGACACAAAATGACAACAAAGAGATGCAAGACTAAAACAAGGAGACACACAATGACTACGAAGACACGCAAAATCACCACAAAGAGACACAAAATAACTACAAAGAGATGCAAAACTACCACAAAGAGACACAAAATAACAAAAAAGAGATGTAAAACTACCACAAAGAGACACAAAATGACTAAGAAGAGATGCAAATCTACCACAAGGTGACACAAAATGACAACAAAGAGATACATAACTAAAACAAGGAGACACACAATGACTGCGAAGACACACAAAATCACCACAAAGAGACACAAAATAACTACAGAGATGCAAAACTACCACAAAGAGACACAATATGATTACAAAGAGATGCAAAACTACCACAAGGAGACACAAAATGACTATGAAAAGATGCAAACTTACCACAAAGAAAAACAAAATGACCACAAAGAGATGCAAAACTTCCACAAAGAGACACAAAATCACTATAAAGTGAAAGAGACACATAATTACCACATACGCACCGCAAAAAGATTTGACTACGAAGAAGCAAAACAATAAGGGGAAGGGGGCAATAATAAGAGGCAAAACCACCATAAAGTCTGTGCGTTTCGCACCTATTGTGCCCAGGGGCCACCGTCTCATAATCTACCCATGCTAACGTCCTTATTATCATCATTATTCGTCTGTTATGATCAGCTTTGCCAAGGAGCAGAGGTTATGTCACTGATTCAATACAACAACTGAATGATCAGATTGACACCAATTTTGCTGAGCACATTTAAGCTCCCAGGAGAAAAATATATATATGTTCATCTTGGTGACCCTTGACCTGTCCCTTTACTGTAATGCCCTGTCAGCCTTCTCCTTTTGCTCTGATATAAAGACATCATATTGTAGTCTCAGTGACAATCAAAACTAATACAATGATTTCTGTGAATGTATATTTGTTGGCATGAAAAGGTGAGACAAACACCCAGGTGGCTGGATGTTCTTGTATGCTTATCTGGTAAAATAAGACATGTGGCTGAGAGTGGCCATACTAAGCAGTCACACTTTTTTTCTCTCCTCATCCGGTCCATCTTCACACCACCATCTGACGACTGAATATGTTAGCAATCACTACATGTTCTGACTGCTGCCTCTTTTTTTAAAACTTTGTCACAATATAGCCCTCGTGGGTTCCTGTTTATAAACTAGACTGTCATTGGTTGATTATTAATCCTGAAGTTTAGAATGAGTAGCATGTGTGCTTTTTATCTGTGACTGATAAATTTGGCTGCAGTTGAGTCATTCTGTATTTCTACCTTGTAATGAAACATTCACAAAAAGCAGCCAACATGTAATTACAGCCAGTCTTTGAGGGCCTTTAAAGAGACACATTATACAATGTCTGTGGATATTTTGTTGTCGATTAGCCCAGGTAACATATACTCCCTGCTTTATTTTATGGCTGAGTGCTTCAGTTAGGCAGCTGGCCATCAGCCTGTCCAGCTTTCCAACAATGATCTCCTCACGTTGCCCATTCCATTCTCGCTCAACGTGCAGCCTGTGTTTATGTGTTTGATTAGGTCTGTTTATGAGTGCCGACTGAGCGGGGAAAACCTTGTCATTTTTTACTCAAGTGAATCCGCCCACATGCTGCCTTTTGAGATATTTTTTTTCGGGTTTTCCTCAATTCACAGATCTGCTGCAGCGAGCCTGGGCTTTGGCAAAGCTGCGAGAGCCTGTGCATTGCCAAAGAGCTGCTACACCAATGTAGCCTCCTACTCAAAATGCCACCAGAAAGCATTTAATAAATGGATATTAAATCAACAGAGGACACAGGATAATTTTAATGTCAATTATGACCTCATTATGAGATGATATATGAATGGGCGCAACCCTCTTCTGAGTAATTAGATAGAGATATATCAGGATAGCACGCCCGGTGATCAACACTGTGGCTCCTCTGTAATTGGAATCATATCAAAATCAGACAGACACTTCAGCTAGGGTCATTTTCAGTTGCATCTCCATCATTTTGATGATTTAATTCCAAGTTCAAACTCATCCGATAAAAAGCAAACTACATAGGAATCGGGGACCTTTTGTGCTTTACTGTGCGGTGGCGGATCTCCCTGTAGGCGGCTGAGGCAGCTGCCCCCTTTTGCACGGGAAGCTTGCCCAGGCTGCCGAATGTGTTAGGTCCAGCACTGTTATACCCCTGTTCCACCAAAATTAATGTTTGTACATGGGTTTTTTAAACACACAGGAAAGCCCGATAAAAATAGGCAAAAGACTCCTTTTCCATTGGCAGTAAACCAGAGATGTGTAGATGGCTCTGCAGCCAACGAGTATGCCTTTTTTTTAATCTATTGTGTTGACGACTGTTTCCTTGTCTATTTTTCCACTCCACCGAAACCAGGCTCAAACCCTCAGCCCTAACCCTAATTACCAAGGGGCGGCGCTACACTTCAACAAGGGGGAAACACCAGAAAACAGGCAGGTGAAAATGTTATGGTGGTTATTTTTTTTTTATATCTCATACTTGTTCAGTCTCTCTTTCAAACTTAATGCTGAATAATTTGGAGCAATGTTTGAATGCTGATTAGGTGAAAACAGATGGTAGTTTGAGGTGGCATGTCTTTGCATCTCACTGGCAAAGGGATTTAAATTAGTGCGCCCACCCAGGTGTTGTATTTCCATCACTGCCGATTTGAGCCAGAGTCGATAAATACCCGGGTGTGAATGCCGATTGTAACCTTTTACATTACATTAAAAAGCCAGATAGGGATGTTAGTGGGGGGTTTTGTGCAGTGGGAAAGGGGCCTCTCTAGGATTTCATCTGTAGACTTTAGGATCAGGGTTTTTTTTGTTTTGGTGCAAGGCAGGTGAGGCAGCATGGCAGAGTAAATATAATTTCAGGAACTCTGTTGGAGCTGGAGTTGCCTTGAAAAGATGTGCTTTGGCAGGTGAAACAAACAGATTTGAAGCAGACTGAACTGCAGGCGGACATCCCTCGTGGTTTGTTTTAAGGAAACTCAGTGCCAAATAAATTCTCCAAGCACAGCATAAACCATTTGAAACAGATTTAACTTGCTTCCCCTCTGTAAACAGATCATGTTTAAACAGTAAACCTCCTCATTATTTTGGATTCAAACTTGAGCTGAGAAATAAAGTGGTGCAAAATGGACTGATAGGCTATTAATGATCAGAAATGCATTACGTATTGAAGTGAGTAAACTTGCAGGAGAGACATCTCTCCCTCAGCAGGCCTCCTGTAAAATGCCAGTAAATACAGGTATGACCCAGCATGACTGAACATAGTGAGAAACCTCTGTCTGACCGGAGCACTGTAGCACTCTGACTCTTGTGAGATGGAGCTGAAAGTGATTAATGTTCTGTTCGACTCCACTTCCTGCTGTGATAGGGATAGTGTTGCCTGGCAACTGCCTGCGGCCTTTCGTTGACTGTTTTGGCTCCATGGCAAATCTGAGGTGGCCTTGCCTTCTCTTGTTTATCTCCGTGTACCTGCTAGAATGGGGTTTCTAGCACGGATCGATGTCTCGATTGCTGGCAGAAAAAAAAAAAAGAACGCCTCTCCATGAGCATGGGAACAGACACCTGCTACCAAATATATTTTCCTAGGCTATAATTCAACAGCATATATTCAAACAGGTGACAGAATCTAAATGTTTCTCTGCAAAGCTGTCAGTAAAGGCAGACAGAAACCCCCGACTCCACCTCATTAACCATTAAGTGGTGGCAGCGTTAAGTGACCGTGGTTCCTGTGACACTGCAGCACTTTAGTGGCAAGGGAGCCATTTCTTTGCCTGAGATGTCCTGCTCATATTTCACAAATGGTATTATATGGAGTTACAAGTTTCAGCAATAATGAAATTAGACAAAACGAAGACCATTAATGCAAGGTATAAGGAAAGCAACAAGAACACAAACAAAACAAAATAGTCAGTAAAAGCAGTAGTCACAACCAGATGTGATTTGTATGTAATTATCCTATTTGGTTCCTCCATACTTATTACCCTCAACCATTCCTGTTTTAGGTATACAGCTACTGGGGACCAGCTCCTTATAACCTCTTCAAGAGTACCTTTTAACCCATATGACAGTCTCTCCAAAGCCAAAATGGAAACACGTTTTTCAAACTACGCTAAAACAG